ACTTTTAAAATTTTAAACAAATTTAGAATATATATATATATATATATATATATATATATATATATATATATATATATATATATGTAAGCAAATGTAAATGGATATAGATCCGACAGAATGAAGAAAAATTTGAAAAAACAAACCAAAAATCCTTAAATGCAATTATGTTGTTTAAAATGAATGAAATGTCGACGACTGACGTTTCTGTTTAATAAACCTTCTTCAAGATTTTTTTTTATGTCCATCGTCTTTGTCAAATTGAACTGAATTGTATTTTAATGAATATTGTCTTGAAGAAGGTTTATTAAACCGAAACGTCAGACGTCGACATTTCATTCATTTAAAACAACATAATTGCATTTAAGGATTTTTGGTTTGTTTTTTTCAAATTTTTCTTCATATATATATATATATATATATATATATATATATAGTTAGCTGGTTTTCAAACTTGACATTAGTAAGTATGTCTTATAGGAAAAAATGAGGAACTACCGACACTGAGGTTTGGCAGCTGACGTCGTGTAAATCTTAGCGCTATGAGAATAATGATAGAGAAGTGATTGGCTTACAACTTTGTGACTGTGTGGAAAGCGGCTGCAGAGTGGAAAATAAGTCTTCCCTCACAAGACTGTGTATACGATTTTGAACCCACCCAAGACTGTAGATCAAGGATTGAGCTGCCCCAATCAGGATAGAGCAGCAATATTTTATATATGACCTATTTTGACTCTTGTAAAGATAAAGAATGAACCGACCATTTTCCAAGGACCTTTAGAAATTTATTGCATATACGAGTTCAAGCGTCCTGGGTAAGACGTTAACCTACGTCCAGCAGCAAGGCCTCAGATCAGGAGCTTTTGAAGAGCGTGGAACCGCCTCTTAAGTGCTGGTGTTCCCAGGTCCACCCTGACCCCGTGTGGTAGCACCTGTTAGGGTCCTAGCTATGGGAAAATAGTTAATTATTACCAGCAATACTTTTTTGAAAAAAATTATTACAAGCAATACAATTTTGAAGGAAATATATTACCAGAAACAGATTTTTGACAAAACAAAATATTACCAGCAATAAAAATTTTTGTCAGCATTAAATAACCCATTGAGGTTGATATGCCGTAAAACAAAATAAACCAAACCAATCTAAACCAAAGAATACATATTCTATTCATACGAATCTATCCTAAAAATGTTATCGGCATTAAATAACCCATTGAAGTTGATATGCCGTTAAACAACATAAACCAAACCAACCATACGAGTTCGATTTGAGATCTGAAGTGAACTTGTGGCTCAATAAAGGATCAAAGCATGGACTCATCCTGAAAGAGTAGCCGTTCATAGCGACAAGAGAAAACTTGGGTGGCATTGTAAATTACAAGCTCATCTCTCCCCACTGAGCTGTCCGAACGAGGTGAGAAGAGAGATCAACTCCAAGGGTCCGATCTTCTTGATTTCTGAAAACACATTCATGAACAGTGGCATTAACGGCATAGATTTTTACTAAAGATCTGAGAAAGGTCCCAAGCAAATCATTGCGAAAGTGCCGAAAAATAGAAAGACCGAGGAGAAAACATTGGGTTAGTCTTGCATTGGTACGATGGGCCTCCGAAGACTGGCCACGTACGACGATCTTTATGGATCTACCTGAGAGGGAAAACTTGATAATTGCATTAACACTTCCAGAGATGCTATAGACGAAGACTTTCTGTAACAACCTCCTATACCACACGTTGTCAAATACCTCTGATGATAGATAGATAGATAGATAGATAGATAGATAGATAGATAAGAACAGACTGAGATAGATAGATATAGATAGATAGATAGATAGATGACTGATATAGATTTATTTAACCGCTGATACCGCCAGATTGTTCGCTCTCTCTAAGAATCTATAACTGAGCAGTACACGCCATAGTTACTTTATAAACCTCACGTTAGGTCTCTGAATGTTAAAGAAATATAATTTTGCTTTGTTTGAATGGCTTTTTTTCGGCTTACCAACTCGTTGTGGGTTATTTAAAGCCAGAAAATATTTTTTGGATTGTAAGAATTATTTCGAGATAGCTAAACGCAACCGCCATTTATCCTCCAATAGTTTCTTTTCTCGCACTTCTCGATAGAGAACTCCCTTCCTCTTACTTGCTTCCCCAATAACTACAATTTTCAAGAAATTAAATGCAACGTCAGTTGCCATCTTCTTAACTCCTCTCATGTTTTGTCCTTTCCTCAATCATTTCTATTCTTAATCTTCTCTTTCACTTTCACTCCATGGAGGACCTTGCCTACTAGTGGCATTACCGCCTTGCTTGGGGGTGAAATGATTAAAAAGATTTAAATTTTTAAAATTAAAAATGAATAAAATTAATTAAAAAATCTAAAGGAGAACCAGAAATGGATCAGGAGAGAGGAAAAAATGATTAATGTTCTCCCAAAAGAAGAAGAAAACGAACAAAACTGTTTATGCCTGCAAAGAATCGGTCTCCTGAATTTGATCGTAACGTCTTCAACAATCTTGCGAAAATGTTAAGACTGTACCCTCTGAAAAATGTCAAAGCAATTTTCCTGATATTCACAAGAATACACAGGATTATCAACCGAATGCTGATCAAAATGTCAAAACTAAATATTCACCAAGAATAAAGCACAATTCTATAAAGTTCGAATTTTAAGTGTAAACTGATCGTCAAAATCATTGTGATGTCATGCCCTGTATCTAATCATACAATGCGTCTGTTTGGCATAGGTGTCATGGGTTCACCCTTCTTGAACTAATTTTTTTTTACTAGTCAATTTAGTGCCGAATCTTTAATAAAAAATGGCGTTGAAATAAACGGAGTAGAATCTTTTTCAAAATATAATAAGCTGTGTTTTAGAATAAGTGATGCAGTTGAAAAAATCTGATGACGTCTTGTGATTAGTTTTTAAGTATTTGAATAAAGGAATGGTATATGAAAACATACAGCATAATATTTAATGAAGAATAAAAACAAGTAGATATAAAGTAAGCAGATATAAATTTTACAAAGCATGTTTCTAATTCCGTTCACTTTCATTCCCTTTCTTCATGAACCATCGTGCGCTGTTGCGTATAGCCATAAACGTTCACACTTGTCAAGCACTGACTACATACTATCGAGGAACACCATTGGTATTGGTGAAATTGGCCGTTTCCATATCTTGGAGGGCCCCATAATGGAAACATTTTAAACTTAATTAGGGGTACGAAAAGGAATAAACGGGAGCCCTATTCTGACTGCATTCTGTCGAGGAACAACAATTGTGTTGGAGAAATTGGCCGTTTCCATATCTGACAAAGGTCCCAATACGGAAACATTTCAAACCTAATCAGGGGTACGACAAAGAGGAAACGGGATCCCCAAACTATTTAATCTCTTCTTTGACTGTGCCCTGGGACGAAGAGATGGGCACAAACCATTTAAGCACATAATGCCAAATCCAGAACGAAAATCTTTTTAAAGGATTCACACCATGCAAGCCGGGCGTGAAAGAGAATGAGAAGACTTTAGTAGAGGAGGCGAGGAAAGGTGGATAATGAAACCGGATTCAAGAAAACAAAAGATGCCGATTGACATTATATTTAAACTTTTGAAAATTCTAGTTTTTAGGGAAGCAAAAAATCGGAAAGGAGTTCCACAGTTGAGAAGTGCGAGAAAAGAAACTTAATTACAGCAGCGAATGTTGTACAGTCCTTTCAAAGATGAAGAAGTGGCTTGAAGCAACGGAGGTATGGTTCTACAGAAGGATGCTAAGAATAATATGGACCGAATATGTTATCAACGATGAGGTTTTGGATAGGATGCAAACAAGGAGGAAGCTTAGAATTAACATCAGTAAAAGGCAGCTGAAATATCTGTGACATGTAATGAGAAAGGAATACTTTGAGAATCTGATTCTCGCAGGGCGGATAGAAGGAAAGAGAGACAAGAGAATGCAACGCATGACATACCTAACGGCATTAAGCAAGTGGATGACAGAACAGGGCTTACGAGAAGTAGAAAAAATGAGAAAAACTTATTGAGAACTACAAGAGATGGGAGGAAGCGGAGAACCATGATTGCGAACGTTCTGAAGGGACACACACATAAGAGAAGAAGAAGAAGAAGAAGAAGAGTAGAAATGGCTGTTGTATGGCCCTAGTTCAGCAGTAAAACGGTTAGACCTAGTTGCCAATCTAGTAGCAAGCTTAAATTAGTGTAGTCAATGTAGCAGAGAAAAATGTTCCTGAGAGCAGTTGCCATAAAAAATATTTCTAGAAAGGGATTAATACTAAGAATTTTGGGGTTTAAAATTAGCGTAAAGGAGAACCGAACTTTATATATTAAGCCCCTTTTAAATTGTTTCATATATTCTGCCATATAAGGCAACAACCGTATTGTGCCGTATAAGGCAACAACCGTATTGTGCCATATACGTCAACAACCGTATTCTGTCGTATAAGGCAACAACCGTATTCTGTCGTATAAGGCAACAACCGTATTCTGTTGTATAAGGCAACAACAGTATTGTGCCATATACGTCAACAACCGTATTCTGTCGTATAAGGCAACATCCGTATTCGAGAAATCAAAAACAGAATGAATGATCTCCCTGGTATTTTCCCATAAAAAAAAAAAACTTTATGTTTCTATTACAATTCTTGCAGGAGAAAATAAATTTGTGTCTGCAAAAGTTTTATTTTATTTAAAGTAAATATAAATGCAAATCGTTTATGTAATTAAATTCGTTCGTATTTTTTTTTTTATTTCAGTTCATGTTTTGAATTGTGACATAATTTTATTTAAAAGTTTTCCTTTCTATCTTTTCTATGACTATCCAGGTAATCGCAAAAGCGGGGAAAGGTTTTTGTTATTTTTTTATTAAACTTTTTTTTATCAAAATTAAAACAATTGGAAGTGAATAGAGGGCTTCATGACAATGAGATTCTTTTTCAGGAAACGATTAATATTTTGCATCTAGAAAGATTATAAAACTTTTATATGACTCACTTTCGCGACCTTTACCGACATCTCCTCTCCGTCTCTCTCTCTCTCTCTCTCTCTCTCTCTCTCTCTCTCTCTCACCATATTCATATTCTATCTCTATCCTATCTCTCTCCTCATTCTATATTTCTCTTTATTTACCATCTTGTTTTACTCACTCTTCCCATCCTATATTCCTCTCACTGTTCCATCCTATCCTCTCACTTTCTTAATCATTTAGTCCCCATCTCTCTCTCTCTCTCTCTCTCTCTCTCTCTCTCTCTCTCTACGCCTTCATCTCTTTCTCTCTTCCTATCCCACTTTCCTTTCTCCTGCTCCACCCTCACTCTGCCCCTTCCTCATCTCATCCTATCTTCCTCTTTCTCCCCATTCTATATGCCTCTCCCGCCATATCGTCTCCCTCTCTCTTTAAACATCCTACCTCTCTTTCTCGCTCTCCCTATCTTATCTTGCCCGTCTCTCTGTTCCCTATCTATATTACTATCTTTATTTCCCCAACCTCTCTTCTCTCTCTCTCTCTCTATATATATATATATATATTCTATCTTCCTCACTCTCCATTCTCTCTACCTCAAATCTTATCTTCTTTTGTCTCGACATTTCTTTCCATTTTCCTCTACTCTCTCTCCCACCAGGCTTTCCTTTCTTTCGCCCTATGACTTTTTCCTCCCTAGCTCTCTTCAGTCTATATATCTCTCTCCATCTTGTTTTACTCTCTCCCTCCCTATATATTTCTCTATGCATCATCTCCCCCCTCTCGCTCTACTCAACTTATCTCCCCCTCCTCCCTCTATTCTTCTTTCTTTCATTTAAACTATATTCTGCTCTTTCTTTCCCCCATCTTGTCTTTCTCTTTCTCTATTCTATCTTTTGAATTTTCCCATCTTCTCCTCCCCTTTCTTCGTCCTATCTTCCTCCCCACTCTATATTTTTCCCTTTTTCTTACCCTTTTAATCTCTCGACATATCCTCTGCCTCTCCTCATAATTTCTCCCTCTTTCTCCCAATTCCATATTTCTTCTTTCTCCCAACTTCTCTCCTATTCACTCTCGCTCCACATCCTCTCTTCTCCCTGTCAATCCTCTGTCACTCCCATCTCTCTTTCTTTACCAATCCTGCCCAATCATTCTCTCTCTCTCTCTCTCTCTCTCTCTCTCTCTCTCTCACTCACTCTGTGTGTGTGTATTTTATCTCCTTCACTCCTCGCCATCTCTTCCTATTTCATCATCCTCTCTACCCATTCTATATATCGCCGCTTTCTTTTCCTATGCTCTCTTCATCTATCACTCTTCATCCTCTTTCTCTCACTCCTCCTCACTCCACTATCTTGTTTACCTCTCTCTCCCCAGCATATCACTCCCTCTGTTTCTCAACATCCTGACTTCCCCCTCTCTATCTCCCTATTTTATCTTCCTCTCTCCCATTCTCTCTGCTTATCTCTTTCTTTACACAACCTCTCTTCTCTCTCTCTCTCTCTCTCTCTCTCGTCCTATATATCCCTATCCTTATTTCTCTCTCTCTTTTCCTATCCACTCTTCGTCTCTCTCTTTCTATCTATCTCCCTTTCTTACCATCCCGTCTTCCTCCCACTCTCTCCACATCATGTCCTCTCTCTTTCCCTATCTATCTTTATCCATGTCTTTTCTATATATATATTCTATCTTCCTCACCTTCCATCCTCTTCCCCTGTTACTTTGTTTTCCTATATTCTCTTTGTCTCTCTCTTTCTCACCCTTCCTCCACCTCTCTCCTCATCCTGTCTTCCTCCCTTTTCCCCATATCATATTTACCCCTCTTGCTCACCCATTTATCGTTATCCATCCTGCCTTCTCTATATTTATATATTCTATCTTCCTCACCCCCCCATCATCCCTTCCTCCCTCATCATCTTATCTCCCCATCCTCTATTCCTATTTCTTCCTCTCTTCGTCTCTCTATTTCTCTTTCTTCCTCCCCGTCTCTCCACATCCTGTCTTCCTCTCTCTTCCGCCATATCATATACACCCCATTCGCTCCCCTATCTTTACCCGTTCTGTATATATATATATATATATATATATATATATATATATATATTCTGTATCTATATATAGAGAGAGAGAAATATAGATAGATAGATAGAGAGAGAGAGAGAGAGAGATTCTATCATCCCCATACACATCCCCATCATCCCTTCTTCTATCATTTTATCTCCCCATTCTCTTTGCGTCTTTTTCTGTCTCCATCTTCTTTTCTCGTTCCTCTCTCACTCCCTCGTCTCTCCCTTCCTTCCTCTCTCTCTCTCTCTCTCTCTCTCTCTCTCTCTCTCTCTCTTTATCTGGCCATCTCTTCTGGATTCTAGATGACGTAATATCTACAAGAGAAATCATATCACCAAAACTTAAGAATAGTTTGGAACATTTTTAACATTTTCTTCAGTTCTGCCTGCAGTTCTGTTACAATCAGATCACGTCTCTTTCCTTTTTCTTTATTTTATATTTATTTTATTTTAATATTTTTTACTTTTATTTATTTTATTTTATTTTTTATTTTTATTTTTATTTTTTTTTATTTTTTATTTTTTTTTGACCATCTTCTTTTGCTAATTTGTTCTTCTCATCAGTGAATGTTCTGTGAGAAGCTGTCAAATCACAGCGGTCGCAAATCGGATTAAAATGATTATTTTCGTTGGGGATTAGACACTGTTTTACGGCTTTCGCTCGAACGTTAAAACACGTCGAAGCAACAATTCGAAAAGTTTCTAATACAAACCAAAAACGAAAAATGCCGTAAAGATAAGAAATGTTTCAATCATCTGTAATTTTTGGTTTTGTTTCTTTCTTTGTTCTTTATATAAAGGAAAACAAATTCTGTTTATGTGCAATGATATTATTTTAAAGATCGATTATCATTGATCTGAGGTACTGGATGTTGCTTCGTAATACGAACGGATGAAAATAATATGCTGATAAGAGGTCATCTTAACAGTAGGCAAAATTCGTAAAAACTAATTTTGGTTACGTAACGAGAACATTTTTGAACTTTTTTCTGATCAGTTTCGAATATTGCAAGAAAGTGCATTGAATAGGATTTTGCTGTTTAGTATTTTAGATAAACATACCATGTCATCAGTATGAAGAGCGACATACTCTCGCACCAAGTCATTAATCGAGAACTTTGCATTAGCCGAAAATCTAGTGGCTTCAAAGATAGGTAGATATTAGAAATTCATATTTAAGTCTGCAAGTATTTATTGAGTTCATGGATAGGTACGTATTGAACCCTTATATTTAAGTATTTACTGAGTTCATAGATAGTTCAATATTGGACGCTTATATTTGAGTAAGTAAGCATTTACCAGGTTCATGGATAAGTAAATACTGAACGCTTATATTTGAGTCTGTAAGCAGTTACCGGGTTCAAGGATATGTAAACACTTAACGCTTATATTTGAGTCTCTAAGCAGTTACCGGGTTCAAGGACAGGTAAATATTGAACGCTTATATTTGAGTCTCTAAGCAGTTACCGGGTTAAAGGATAGGTAAATATTGAACGCTTATATTTGAATCTGTAAGCAGTTACCGGGTTAAAGAATAGGTAAATATTGAACGCTTATATTTGAATCTGTAAGCAGTTACCGGGTTCTAAGATAAGTAAATATTGAACGCTTATATTTGAATCTGTAAGCAGTTACCAGGTTCAAGGATAAGTAAACATTGAACATATTTGAGTCTGTAAGCAGTTACCGGGTTCAATGATATGTAAACACTTAACGCTTATATTTGAGTCTCTAAGCAGTTACCGGGTTAAAGGATAGGTAAATATTGAACGCTTATATTTGAATCTGTAAGCAGTTACCGGGTTCTAAGATAAGTAAATATTGAACGCTTATATTTGAATCTGTAAGCAGTTACCAGGTTCAAGGATAAGTAAACATTGAACGCTTATATTTGAGTCTGTAAGCAGTTACCGGGTTCAATGATATGTAAACACTTAACGCTTATATTTGATTTTGTAAGCAGTTACCAGGTTCAAGTATAGGTAAATATTGAACGCAGATATTTGAGTGTCTAAGTATTTACCGGAATCAAGGAAATGTAAATATTTGACGCTTATATTTGAGTTTGTAAGCATTTACCGGGCTCAGAGATATGTAAATATCTACTAGGTTGTCTTATTTTGGGGATCGTGGACTGTAATGCTTATAGGCAACATGGTCATTATAATGGAACAATTCGGCAATTTATAAAAAAAAAAATTTTAATTTTTTTCGTGAAGTTAAATATCAAAAGTTCAGCAAATATTTTTTTCTAATATTCATTGTAGTTTCCTTCCAATCTTTTTTATAGTGTGGAAAGCTAACAGCATAATTTATCAGTCTTTCCTGTTTTTATGACATTTTTTTGTTTTTGTTACTGCTGTTGGGTGTATTCGAACCTCTTATTAATACTGGATTTTTATAAGCCTCTAATTAATAACGGATTATTTTCAAAAGCATTTATTTAACACGGAGTTTTCATTTTTATATTTATAAATAATACCAGATTTTACAACAGGTATTAGTTTTGCTTGCCGCAAATGAACAAGTATAGACTAAAAACAAATTTGATGACATTACTAACAGCCTGTTAACCATTTTAACTAAAGAGTGCTCCAAGGCAATGTATATATTTATATTTGTTAATATTTCTAAGATTCTAATAAGATTCTTGGATACTTTATATTCCGAAATGTTAATATGTTATTTTTTTTCTACGTGACAGCAGAATTTCAAGGTGACACCTAAAATTAATATACGTCTTTTCGCTCAATGCCCTTTTAATGTTTCCTTATAAGGAAACGGCTAATATTACGATTGTCATTATCATACGTTGGTTTTATTTATTTGTATTTGCAGTACTCCCTCTGCAGCCGACTATCACTGGATTCACGTATGTCAATGACGCAGGTGTATGCCCGGACCGGAAGTTATAAAGGACAGATTGTTGCACTTAAGATGTATGAAAAGAAACATTTTGTTGTTACACACAAGATGAAAAAGGAAATGAAAATCGTAAGTGGCCATATTCTTTTGTATACTAAACTGATTGATTGATTTGTTGTTGTTTTTTTAATTATTATAAACCTTTTGAAAGTTATTTAAAATATTTTTTAGATTGTACAATTTTTGGAGAGTTGTAATTTGCAATTTTCCTAATAATTAACAGTTATAATTTGCTTTCCCTTGATACAAGTCCTATGACAAATAATTAACTCGGCTCGCCGATTTCTGGAGGTTACCCATGTGTAATGGGTAACGATAGATTAATACATTTCCTGGCATTTTCAATGAATCTTGACAAGGTTCGTAAGTTCGAATATGACAATCATATGTTTTCAATCGTTAAACATCAATTTTTTAAAATTATCGTGTGGCTTATATATATTTATATATTATATTATATATATATTTTAAAAATATATATATATATATATATATATATATATTCGTTTTTTATATATTTGAAAATTTCTCTGATTTAACCAGTAGAGAAGAAAATATTTATGAATAAAAAAATGACAATTTTCAGTTAAAATATGAAAATAGCGTTCTCTACATTCAGTTCTAGGTACATTCTGTTTTTTGTTTTTTAACTTGTTCAATTAATTTAATTTTCGTATTTTTGCTTTGATAAAGTCCACATTGGACAAACGAACCACCTATTGATTTTATTCATAAATAAAAAGTCTTAAATAATGTTTCAATGTTTTTATGTGAAGCCTATTGCAGGAAAACTATCAACTCTACATAAACCTCAAATGATTTTTGCATTAAGTTCAAAAGAAAACATCCATCTCAAAACGTTTTCTTCGCGTGTAACTTTTTCCTTAATTTTTTGGGCGTACCCACCTTCAGTTTTATCGATTTTTTCTCTTAAAAGAGCCTGAGGGATTAAAAATTTAGTCTTGACCTATGTTCGTATATTTGCAACATGTGTGTAAAATTTCATCGAAATTAATAGTTTCTTTTTTTCACGCTTCCTGGCTTCTTCCTTTCCCAGTAATCGTTTTCAATCGTTATCTTTGGTCTTCTTAATTTATATTTTTATTGAGCTCTCTTTTTAAAATATGTTCCTTCAAACTGAGTGTGACAGAACACGAGAAAAAGTCTTAGCAATATTTTTGATTGAAATTCAAATTTCAGGGGGGTGGGCAGATTATTTGATTGAATAAATTGGTGGGCAGATTTTGACATTGTTATGGCAGTTGAATTGTCGCAACAAATATTTATTGTAAGGAACTACCAACTGATTGATGGTTCCTTGCTCAACTTGACGTCCATATTTTCTCATTTTGATTTAGCCGATGTGACCTCCATCTTCTGGTTTTCTTCTTATATATTTTGGATAGGAGCCATTCACTTGTTCAAATTTCAATTTAACTTAGATCACAGTGAAATAAATTTTCAATGGGGAGGGTTGTTCCCCCACCTCAGGACACCCTTTGATCAAAATGATATATACTTATCTAAGTACTCTGGGTAATGTAGTTTCAGAATATATATGTTTATGGGGTTCTATTTCCTAGGAGGAGTTCGATAACAAACAAACAGATAGACGCTACAACTTTATATATATATATATATATATATATATATATATATATAGATATATAGATGCTGGTTTTGTGTCTTAACTTCAAAATGATGATTATATACCCGGCACATACATACACTATAGACACGGTGATTTTCATTTAAGGCTAAAACGTAGTGAAAGCCGTGGCTAGAATTAAAGGCCCATCGCAAATGTCGTCATTCCACTGGGAGCAAATATTTTTTTTTTTTAAATTTTGGTTTGCAGTTGGATGCTGGTTTAGAAATCCAAGAAAAAATAGTGATTAAGAGCCTAATTAATTTGGTTTGAAAAGCTAATCCTCATTATCTCGGTATATTATTCCTTTAACTGAGGTTTTATTCCAGTTAATATACAGGGTGTCCCAAAAAGTTTGGCATCATTTTAAAAGCAATTATCTTGAAAACTATTAAGTCTAGCTCAATGAAGTTGAACAGTTTAGATGTTGAACAGTTTAGATGTTGAACATGAGTTTATTATGGGACCGATGTTCAATATGCGCACCGCCTGTAACACGGCACACGTCAATTTGGTAGTTAAGCTCTTGCCAAACACGCTGTGGCATATCTCGGTAACATTATCCAGTGCGGAAATGAATCTCTCCTCGAGTTCATCAATGCTAGCAGGAAGAGGGGGTACATCGACGATAAAAAGAAATCACACGGGGACAAGTCCGGTGACCGCGGCGGCCATTTCATCAGAAATCTGTCTTCATCGCCACCACGCCCGATCTCTGGCAGATTCTCACTGAGATAACAAAAATAAAACATTATATATAAAAATCTTGATCTCTTTCTCTACATTCTGTGAAAAATTGGGGTTATTTCAACAAGAACTGCCAAAATTATTGACCTGCGAAATGATGTCAAATTTTGGGGGACAACCTGTATAATTTGACGGAGCATCCGAAGCTTCACTTTAAATCCCATTAGCAAGTGTGTACGAAATGTCGTACGCATTTTAATATTTTGAATTAATTATTCGTCTTAAAACAGCTTTAATGAAACAAAAGTCATATTGGAAATATGAATTCTGGAATAAAATTATGACAAGAAACAAAACGAACATGAAAGTAAGTTTTATATTTTGTTTTAAGTTTATAATTAAAATAACTATTTTATGCTGACTTAGTTTGTCATAAATATGTATTTTTATGATTACAAAATAGAATAGTATTTATATATAAAAATTGACTCCTCAAAATTGGTGGTTTAACAGCAGAGTGGGTGTTAACGTTTTCTACACCTTGTGAGCAATATCTAAAAATATCGGGTTAAATTTATTGATTCTGTCATGAACTTTATGTAAAAACGTTCCTAATAAATGATTTTTCATTAATTGTGTAGTATAAACTATTACGTTTACTCCTATGTTATATTTTCTAACGGTAAACTAAACTAAAATTCAACATACATTTTTTAAATATCTTTTAGCAAGAAAAAAAAATTACTCATAAAAAATTAAATTTTATCGTCAATATATGTGTTGTTATGAATAACAATATCATAGAGAAATATATTAAATTAACTTTATGTAAGAAATATTGCATTTTTAAATAAATTTCGCAGTGTAAAAGTAGAATTGAAGAAAATATTTTAAGTAGAAAAGTCCGTTAGAAATTAATGATAAAACATTCTTAAAATTCCCTTAGAAGAGACTTTGCTACATTTGTAATAAGAAAAATCAGGCAAAAAGCGTCTTAATAATTTATTTCATTAACCCTTTGTGCCATGCGTTCCTGAATAATTTTAATCTTTCTGCTTGAGTTCCTAACAAAATTCGCAAATAATTGATATGTAATGTTTCACGTTCGATATAAAAATAGTTACAAGTGTTTACCCACCGTTCAACCGGTGTTTGTACATTAAGTCATTTTTCTCTACTACTGTTCAACCGGTGACTGAGCATTACGTCATTTATCTCTACCACCGCTAAAGCGGTAGTAAGGGCTCAACGGGTTAAATCAAGTAAAATTAAAATATTGCATTTCGGCAGAAGTGACTTAAAAATTCAGCAACCTTTTTTTTCATTTGATAGAAACAAATTGATTGAATTTACTTATGGCATTAATTTTATATATATTCTTAATAAATCAGTTTTAATTTATTTGTTGCATAAGATATCAAGTTTGATTATCAATATGATCAAACTTGATATGGTTTTAACGTTAAGCTAAACTAAAATTGAACATACTTTAAAAATATCCTAAAAAAAAATAACAATGAATTTCGCAACAACAAAAATATGTTTGTTTTTACAATGGAAAAATAAAATAATATAGCAAATCGGAAGGAAATAAACTAAAGTTGATCCGAACAATAAATTTTATTTATTTTCTTGTTTAGAATTAAAGTAACTATTGTCATCCTTGCATTTTTTCGTGCCTTGTAATGTGTCCAAACCACGCCATTTTTCTCCGTTTGACAGTCACGAGAAGTTATTGTTGGCACACAAAACTTTCAACCCTTTTCCGCGCAAATTCATTGATTTTATGTTTCCAATCGAACATGCCAAGCAATGTTCTCATGCATTTGCCCTCAAACGCTTCAAGGACGCGGAAAAGAGTTCCACGAACTATAAATGCGAGAAATATAGTATTAGCATAGAATATACGGTTGCATCTAGCCATTTCAGCTGAAAAATGATGAGACATTGTTGCCAGTCTTGAACTGCGTTTAAATTCATGGAGTCGAGGTACCATAGAGGAAAGTTGAGCCGAACAATATTTTTTTTTGTTTAGAATTAAAGTATTGGTATCCTGACATTTTTCATGAATAAAACCATATGATTATAATCGTAGAAACGTACATGAAGAATGAATTGAATCTTAAACATGTTTTGTTTAGCAGCAGAATTTGGATTAATGTCTTACACACCTCGTTTGCAATTTCTAAAATAACGGAGTAAATTCATTGAATTTACTTATGACAACTTTAAACAAGAACATTTTTAATAAATCAGTTTTAATTTATTTTGCTGCATAAAATAGCGTTTGCTGTTATTTCATGTTTTTTAACGTTAAACTAAACTAAAATTCAACTCTACTTAAAAGAAACTCTTAGAAAGAAAAACACAAATGACACATGAAAAAATACATTTTAACGTGAATGTATTTGTTGTTATTTAAAACAATCTCATAGAAAAATATTAAATAAAGTTAATGTAAAATAAAACGTTTTTAAATAACATTTTTAAATAGATTTCGCAATGTAAAAACAGAATGGAAGAAACATATCTTCGGAAGAAAAGTTTCTTAAAATTAACTTGAGACAAACTTTGTAACATTTCTAATAAGAAGGACTAAGAAAAAATAAGATTAATAAATAACTTTTTAAACTCAAGAAAAATTAAAATGCTACATTTCTGTAGAAGAAGAGCGGTAAAAATTCAATATTCCTTTTTCATTTGTTAGAAGCAGAAATACAGATGACGCAGAAAT